CTGATTCTGGGTTGAAACTAGGCACACTGCACTGACGACGGCAAAGGCGAGTCACGTGATGTCGTTTACTACGTCACAGCGACACCAGTGCTGGCCTCTGCAGTGGTCGCCCTGGCTCCCAATATAGGTTCATTGCAAATTTCATGGTGCCAATCATCCTATTGAAGCACTCCCTATTTCAATTGATGATACAAAAATAATGTCGTTATGCTATGAGGCATTCCGAAAAAACTTGTTCAGCGATTATTTCTGTAACAAATAAACAGAACACTGGTTGAAAAAAATTGTACTTCATGAAATAACAACACATATACACCTATGTGGTTATAAGCAGATATGGTAGACAAATGCTGTGACGTACAACGCTAGAGACTCGCACAGTTCCAAGTGCAGTTACCTAAGGTGACTTCAAGAATAAAAAATATTCTTTTTCTTCACGACTGATTAGACTGCTGGGCGTAATATGATGTCACTCAGCTGGTCTCACAAAGCCAACCTCCTCCAGCACTCATCTCTGTGCTGAAACTACACAATTTAACAAACTTCACCTTCCTTTTACAGCAAAATTTTGTGTGGCTACGACATTCTCTCTATACTCCAAAAACCTGCCTATGCCTAAACAACTCGCAGGCAAGATTTATTTTGTTTTTAATAGGATAGCAATTATACGGACATTCTCAACTGGTTTTTGCCGTTACCAGGGGTGTAGCCAGAAATTAAAAAAAGGGCTTGGGGTGAGCAAGTAAATGATCATTTTGCGCTATATATGCCATGGCGAAAAAAATTTGGGAGGTGGTGGGGAGTGGGAGGAGGGGGGCACATTCTTGATGTGCCTCTCTCCCTTGGCTACGCCACTGGCCGTCATACTTTGTTTAATGTCCCAATCGATAGTATACCCCGGCGCATTGTGTTTTACATGCAAGTAAAAGCGCAAATGGGGTGATGAACGACGCTAAAGCAGAGACAAGATAAACCAACCTATCTCTTTTGCACTGAGCGCGGATGCAATAAAATCCCCCCCGCATGCCAGGCCTCCCATCTATTGTTACTCAGGCAGAGAGGAACGCATCGCTCGTGTCCAAGGCACAGGAAAGAACGAGCTTGGAATGCGAGGGGGAAGCGTTATGAGCTTTGACTTTAAGAGTGTGATCGCCAGCGCACGCGCCATTTATGACTGGCCTTTTACCTTGTACTCTCAATGTGAACAGACTGGGCAAAAAGTGCTTCGCTTTCTAGAGCGGCAATATAAAGGTATGCACTGAGCCTTGATCACAAGGCGGCCACACCATCGTCGCGGCATTTCAGAGGTCCATTCGTACGTGCCGTTCGTGCAGTACAGATAGAATTACACTGGTCTAGAGCAGTAGAGCGCGTGCCTGTCGACACTGTTGTAAGCCGCGGCTTCTATCTCACGTTGGCTACAATCTGCCACTGATGCTTACATTACAGCACAATTGCCTACCATGCGGTACGACCATGTTTGGTAGCATTACGGCGTCTCTCTTTACATATTTCTGAAGAAAACGCCAGCTGGGGCAGCCGGCTGGGCACTCTATAGTCTGATTCCATCTGTACGTGCATCGGCGTGCAAGAGATGTTTCGGGTGTCTCTAGTCATTTTTAAATAAATAACAAATTGGCAGATCTCTCGTACAGTGGGAATCGATGATATGCGAAGCACGAATGAGAAAGATTGATATGTCACTTTAAAATCAGCACAACGTCGGGAGGTGAAGGTAAATAATGGCGTACATGACTTGCATGTCACATTTATCATGTTTGCATGTGTTGTTTACCTTCGTCATCTATTCACGTCACATGATACCAAATTTAGGATGTGTGAAGCTAGCGAAACTCCCTCGAGCACGCTATAAGCTTGGTGTGTTTCATGTTCTTGCATGATACCCGTGTCAGAATTATCATGTTTGCACCAGTCATATATTTCGTCATACATTGACGTCACGTAACACCAAATTTGATATATGTGGAGCTAGCAAAACGGCCACGGGCGCATCATGAAGGGCCCAATATATTCCGATGTAGCGTTGACTCGCACGCACGCTGGGCACAGCGACGTTACGTTAGCAAAACTCGAGCACTCTATAGTTTGACGCCAGGCGCGAGCGGCGGGTCCAGCGTTCGTCGGTGCAAAGCAACGGCAACCGGCGCGAAATGCGACATGCTGCATTTTGTGCAAATGTGTTACCCAGACAGCACTGCCTCTCCCTCTTTTCGTGATGGAGGCTCCCTCTTTTTGTGATGGAGGGATGCCGGACACTCTGAAACGAGCATGCGTCAAAGCAACGCAGCGCGGCGCGCGCCTGCGAGTATATGGCAGGACCGGCGCCTGGCATGGCAACGCCGGAGTTACGGAACAAAATGAATGCCGGCGAGCACACGCACCGTGTCCCGTCGAAATGTATTGGTACCTTGACTGTGGCATGTATTCATGTTCTCACATGACACCCATCTCATAATTACCATGTTTGCACCATTCACGCAATACAATTTGTTGGTATCGCATTCACTCCTAACAGCCTACGTGACAGTAACAAATTGTATCTTACTTGAGATCCGATATCGCGTAACCTAAAAGAATGCTGGATAAAAGGACGATGATCACTCCAGTTTGCGAAGCTTTCATGCCGTAAGTTATCTAAACACGAAGATGTTATTAGCACAAAAAGTTACCGAGCAGTCTCATCATGCCTCAAGATGGCGTGCGCCAGCTACTTCAAGCGACGCAGCAGTTTCCCCTCCACCCATTCCTTAAGAACTAAGCAATAAGCAAAATGCCATGAAGTTCTTCTTCTTTTTTTTTAACCGTCACCTATTGACCCTGGAAAGCGAGAGGCGGATGTCTAACAAGACACAATCGCTTCACAGGCCTTCTGACACCAGAGCCGCCAGCGACGGCCTCACTACAGTTGCGCGTATTAAAACCAAATTGCAGCGGCTCAGACCAGGAGGCATGCTTTTACAAATGAGACGACATTTAAAAAGAAAGCATGCGAGAATTTTCAATTCGGACCCTACCAATCTTGAGTTCGAAAGGGCAAGGTCTTTTGGACGCTCTTGCCACCACAGTGATTATAAATGCGGATCTGCTGGTCGAAGGAATCACGAAAAAGCTTTTTGTAAGATGATCCATGCATAAAGTATATTAAAAGAAAGGTGCCAATGCGCTCCTACCATTTACATGTTTTCTGCTGACGTCAAGCACGAAAACTTAGATCGCGATGTCCAGACATAGACGTGACTGACATTCTGACGACACGGATGCAGTTATTAGTGAAAATTCAAAATTGATTTATTACATGATGCGCAACTCTTCACACAAACTATCAGAAACGTTCCTGGAATGTACGACGTCCACCGATAAAGCACCGCCATAGTTTCATGCTACCGATAGGACTAAACGTCACAAGCCCCTGCAGAGAGCGCGTTTCGCCGTTAAGCGGACTTGCACAACACAGTTGCACGGGCACCAAGCATAGCATCGTGTATTTTAGGACTCACGCAAGACCACAGTTTATACAACGAAACTAAATAGGTGCATCGTGGATGTTAGGACGCATGCATGACCACACTTTATACAGCGAAATTAAATAGGTACGAGATTGTGACTTTCGTGGCCTCCAAGAACAAGGTGTACATGTATCGACGCGCCGGCGTCGCTATTTTCAATGATAGATGAGTTTCGAAATCTGACTTTGGTGCAGTTTGGTGCAATTTCCATTGATATTATCAGAATGGTGTAGTAAATCTAATTTGGCGCACTTTGGTGCAATTGGTGCAGGAGTGGGATTACTGGTGTTCGATATATCCGTGTCCGACTGTATATGCATGCATGTACACATCCACACACACATTTTCCCTCACAAAAGCCGGTCCCTGGCCTAAACATTGAAATAAACTTATTGTAGGTTTGTCTGTAATTTTGAATATTTGCCAGGGACTGTATCCACATGAACATTTTACACACACACACACACACAATTCCACTTACAATTATCTCAAACATGGTGATCTGGCAATATTTCGTAGCCCTTACAATGTTCCTATGTGGCCGCCATTAAAACTGCATCCACATACAATGAACACTTTTTTCCAACATTTCTAGCATGTTTTCTACTCCAATTTAAATGCGACAAAGATATTTTAGATTGGCAAGCACCACATGTAGATTTGTGGTGCCACAAGCAAGTTAGCTCTTTTTGCAAGCATTTCAACAGCAGCAGAATGACAATGAGGGCAACAAAAATCAGAAAGGAGCACAATGCCCACCAGTAACCTTTCACAAGGCAACCTGATCTGATGCAGTTCTCTAGAGCTACGACCTATCACGTGTGTCTTGGAACACAATAAGCCACGAATGCAAGTAGCAGCTCTCAACTCAATGATGCCATGATGTACTGCATAAGGTATTCAGTCTTTTTAATAAGCACCAAAAAAGAGTGACGGTTAGGTGGCGGCTGCCAATGACCGTTAAAATTTTGGTTGACAATTCCCTAGCCCACTAAGCATCATCACCTACCTGCTTGACTGCGTGTGTAATGTAGCACTATTGGAAGCATACTGCATGCTTTTAATAGGCAACAGCCTAAGCCTGCTATGCTGCCGTAAACAACTTTGTTGCTTTCATGCCATCTTTGACTGATTTCAAGCACGCGCCTCTTCGTAAAAATGAAAGCGAGTCACTGTTGCCAAGTTGAAGCGCAGGTTCTGAGTAACCACGTTTTGTAGCTCAGGGAAATTAAAGTTTTACAGCAAGCAGCTGTCTGAGAGCATGTTGGGTTTCTTCTTAGATGCACATTTGCGTGCTATTAGGATCGAGTGACCCATTTCCAAGAATACACAAAAAAAATAACAGACTTCGATTACATGCAGGCGGTGGAACTTTTAAAATGCCCCACGTGCCAGATTACTACCTTTATTTCACCCAGCTTTATCTTTGCTTACAGTGACCACGCACGATTGTTGACGAGTAACAATGCCCACCTGGCTGGTCGTCTGCACCATCCAGCTGGAAAGGGTCGTAGGCCTCGTTGCCATCGGAGTGGTCTGACATCGAGCTATCTGCATCGTCTTGTTCCCTTTCGCCTGCCAACTGAAACACCTGTCGACGGCAAAAACAGCGCTTCATCACATGCAGCACGGTGGTCAAGATCTGCTTCTCGCTAAACCAGACTGCATTTCTAGGCTTGTGAGAATATTACAGTACAGCTGAACCCCTTTATAAGAGGCATGCTCCGGGCAGCAATTTTTGTCTCTTATACGAGATGTCTCTCATAAGCAGGGTGCCTCGTATGCATTTTCTCATCAGTGCGTACTTTAATGTAGGCACACTGGTGTCTCTTATGCCCATTTGTCTCACATATCAGTGTCTCTTTTAGCCCCGCCGCGGTGGTCTAGTGGCTAAGGTACTCGGCTGCTGACCCGCAGGTCGCAGGTTCGAATCTCGGCTGCGGCGGCTGCATTTCCGATGGAGGCGGAAATGTTGTAGGCCCGTGTGCTCAGATTTGGGCGCACGTTAAAAAACCCCAGGTGGTCGAAATTTCCGGAGCCCTCCTCTACGGCGTCTCTCATAATCATATGATGGTTTTAGGACATTAAACCCCACATATCAATCAATCAATCAATTAGTGTCTCTTATAAAGGGGTTTCACTGTACAGTCAAATCCCGCTGAAACGAAATTGACGGGATACCCGAAAAAATTCGTTGTCGTAGAATTTCACTGTAGCAAAATTTCATCTATCGACCACAAAATCTATCAAGATCTCATGATTATGACTCGTCCTTTGGTCCCCGCGTGTGCATGCATTAAACTCTTGCCAATTCAAACGTACCTGTGAGAGTATTTTCTTGCATAGAACTCGATCAAAATATACAGAAAATTTGAAGCCCAAGTCGTCGTGCGGGTTATACGAGAACTTTGGTGGGCAAGTTGGCTTCACGGTGATGCAAAGAAGGCGACCCTGTGTCAATACGCAAGTACTTTTTAGGAGCGAAGCTCCTTAAGGCGTGGGCTGTGCGTCCCCTGTATGTAGCCACCTCTCGTTCAGTTCTAAGTATTACGCTAGCCACCGCCCGATCTAAAGGGTACAGCCATATCCAACCGTCCATCCGTCCGTCCGTCCGTCCGTCCAAAAGATGCAAGATGTTATAAACTAGACGGCGGTACGTGTAGTTGATTATGAAAGATGCGAGGTGTTATAAAATAGGAATGATGCCACATATGGCGCGTGTCATCGTTCGATATAGTGCGGCGACGTACGCTAGGGGGAGCGTTGCAATAAAATCGAGTGGGCAAAATGTACGGAGGATTCATGGTTTACCAGGTTTACCTCCGGAGCTTCGCCCACTCATCATCATTCACTTCGTGGATATGGCGGCTTTTTTTTTTTTTCTTTCTTTCGCTGTTTGCTACTCGAGGTGCCGATTGTATGCGCGGGCGGGTTATACAAGGAAAAAGGCGATATTCAGACGACCCTTTGAGTGTGCCGAAGCTTCGCTAGAGGGACATTGCAATCTGCAAATGAAAGTGCTGAAGCTCCGTACTACCATATCAATAAGTGAACGGCAGGAAAGCCGGAACGCTTCGGGCCGTTTTACGGTTTTATTGCCTTTCATTTAAAGCTGTACTAGCTGCGCACCTCCGCAGCGCATTCTCTATCGATGAACAAGACGATAGCGACCACGGTTTCCTGTGCAGCGGTTGCGGCAAACGGTAGTTCCGTTATCAACTTAAGCGTGCTGCGCCGGTCGTGCGCATGCGTTCCAAACGGCATCATTGCTATCTTAGTTCGCATCGACGTGGTTTTGTCAGCAAGGCTGCGGCAAGTAGTATTGGGTCGAGCTGTTGCTTGTTGGATGCACGCATCCTTTCGTAGTCGCCCGTGATCGCGTCGACACGACAGCATCTGTGTTCCTAGAGGTTGGGGCAGAATGTGGTTATGATTAGACTACATGCGCGCTAGCCGCGCGTGTGCCTTCACAATGCCATGGATGTCATTCACAATCGGAGGGCTAGTGACGATGAGCAGTAGTTTTGTTTTGAGCACGTCATCAAAAACATTGCGGGAGTCTTGAAGACCGATTCTGCCGCGGCTCACATGCGCATTACCTGCTGGCCGCATCACAGCAGATGGGCAATCTGTCGCACAGCATTTCGGTGGCAAAAAATTTAACGGAATGTGCATGTGGTGGCAGAAAATGTGCATGAAAACATGCGTGTTCCGACGCGTCTGCGCGCTCTGGATGTCTTGAGCCAACAAAAAAATGGCTGATCTGGCTGCAGAATTTCACAGAAATCAAAAGGGAAACTTCTTTTCTTTATGTGGTAGTACTCGTGAAAACTTCGTTGTACCGAAAGTATACAGGAAAAGCATTTGTTGTGACCAGAGATTTTTCACATTGTCTTCCATAGGTGGCTAACGGCAAATAAAAAATCGGCGTTGTGGTGGAAATTTCATTGCAGCGAACTTCATTATAGTTGGTATCATACTGTATTCAAATTCACTTCAATTTGAATTCAAGTGCGCTAAATATGGTGAATTTCAAAACTTGACATAATTTACAGGTTATCCTTGCATTCTACTGAATTTCAAGTCCTGCAACAATGCAAAGTTGTTTCTGCTTTGTTCGAATGAAAATAAATGAGATTTGCACAGGCCTTGTTCCAATTTTTTTAAATATTTTGCAGGTTAGCGAAATGCTGACAATATGCCCACTTGTATCTAATACGCGATATATGGCATTCGAATTCGATTCACAATTATTCAACCAAAACCCCTCTTCTCTTCTACTTAGTTTTGAAGCTAGAATTCACAATTCACACAAGCCTATGCATTCATATTCGACCTAACAGTCGTAGTCATCACAAACTCGATTCTTGTCCATCACAGGAAAAGTCAATTTCCAGAAATTTCAAATAAAGAGCCTATTTTGCAATATTCGCCTAACCTCATAACACTAATTCTTCGCAATTCTCAAGCACATTCCCCTTCTCTTTTCTCACATATGGGAAGAGCTCATAAATTCAGGTTATAAAGACCAACTACCACACGAAACTGTCACCATACTTACAGTTACCACTTTTTCAAAGTGAGTGTTGCCAGATATTGCACTAATGCTTATTATACGTTTTTAAGCACTGGAGGGGTACGCAGTTCCCGAAAACCAAAAAATCGCAAAAACTTTTCAAAAAACCATATTTTTGAGATGTACGTCTCATAAACTACTTATTCTGTAATTATCGAACCCCAATTCAGCTGCAAGGCGGGAAAAAAATGCTACATTCGAGGTCGTGGCGGCTTCCAAAACGCGCAAAAAATGCCCAAATCAAACCAAACATTGCGCACGGGCCATTCTTAAATCACGCGGTCGTCTAGTGCCATCTTGGTGTTGTTTTGAGCGTCAATTCTTTCCCTCTTGTTTGCTGTCTTGAAAAATGGCGTCAGCTGCACGGTTGAGACGCTATTGGCGTATTCGCGCAAGGCGATGCAAATGGGAGCGCTGATTGACTAGAGCAGCGCATTCATATCTCAAGGGAGAAAGCGTGCCCGCCATTGGCTGCTGCGCAGCAGCGGGGGTGGTCGCTCCCTACGATGGCGCGCCCTTGCCCGATGTTTGTTCGCTGCTCCGTTCGCCTTGACTGGTGACTGCTGAGCTGCTCCTGGCCTTTCTCTATTTTTTCGATTGTTTTCTCTTCATTATTTCTTTTTGCACTAGTTCTGTGTTCCTTGTACTTGGTTGTTCCTGTCCTGTGCGCGGAGGCACACTATACGGTTTGTACGAGCATCGAGATTCGGCCAGTTTGCTGAAAGCGCCGACTGCGTAGACGCTTGCAGCGGCTGAACTGTGCTGTCAGCCGTCGCAAGTGGAGAATCTGACACATCGAGCATGGCTGGAGCCACAATTGCACTGAGTGTTTCCGAGATCGTCGGACTCGGTACGAGCTTTGAATCGGTGCTATCGAGCGTGACGCCGAGTGTTTCCGAGATTGCAGGACCCGGCACTTCGATGCTTTACGCCTAAAAATAAATTACAAACGACACCAAAAGAAGATGTAGACAAGGCAAAAGAAGAAAAGAGTGTGTAAAAGCACTTATAGCTATTCTGCTCAAGTTTTCTGATGAAAACGCAAGTGTTGAGTTTCCTGAGCCAGTTTTCGCAGAATGAATTTTCTTGCTAATTATAGTGCTGAAGAAAGTTAAAACTCAAAGACTGCTCATCAAAATTTTTAAAAACTGCTTTGTAGCATCTGGGCTACCTATCAAAGAATGACCACAATGGATTTCAGCCTTCTACTATGTCCCAAGATTTTTCATGACTCTTCCTCGTCTGTGCGTCCGTCCGTCTATGCCTCCGTTCGTCGGTGCGTCCCTCCGTTGGTGCATCCGTACGTGCATCCATCTACCCATCCATCCATGCTTTCGTCGGTGCTACCGTCCATGCTTGCGTACATGCTTTGGTCCGTGCATCCGTCCGTGCCGTCCTATTGCACACTATCTATTAGACCAATGCCACCAAGGAAATGAGACGAGAAATGATGATGAGACAGCGCCATCTATTATACTGCGAAGATACTGCTGGATGCTCCTGACGCAGGAAAATGTTAGACTAAGAGGAGCTTCGCCCCTAATAAACATTTATTGTACTAAAACAGTGCTCCCGAGCTCGTGAGCTTGGGGTCACTTTAGGTGGGAGGGTCCCTCATTCCAGGAATCTGCTGGCTCCAATCAGCTCCTGCGCCTGGGCGACAAGTCCTCGTTGGTCAGCTAGGTCCCATGCGGCGATCTTGGCCTCCCACGTCTCAGCAATGAGATCGATACATGCGATTGTTGCAGGCTTGGTATTAGCAGGGGTGCTAAAGCCAAAATAGAAATTGGAGCAATTTGTGAAGCAGGCAAACATTGCTTCTGGAGCAGATAAACCCAAATTTGGAGCAGATTACGGGAAGACATACCTGCATTTTGGAGCACAAAATTTCAAATTTGGAGCAGTTTCAAACATTTTATTTTTTGCCATAAGATGACCTAAATAGCAAATAAACAGCCGAGAACATTCGCACAACCATAATAACACACAGCTTTCACACCTATTAACAAGACAAAAACAAGTGATCTTGCATATGGCAAGAAGCTCATAAAACTTGATTAATAGAGACATGACAACTTGACAAGTTCAATCACTCCACTTGACTAGTTCAGACACCATTCAACTTGACGAGTCTAGACACCACACATTAATGCTTTCTTTTTTTAGAAATCTCTTCGAGCTTACTGAGCTTTCTAAGCGCAATCTCCAGGCTGGCGTTCCCCTTTGCCAACAGTACATGGCCACTTGACACTTTATTCATGTCTTTTTTCTTGACACCTGCGTTGATTATTTCTTCTGCACTCGTGAGCAATGCCTTGCTGGCTGCCACTTGGTCCTCTAAAGCAGCTTTTGCTGCTTCGTGAGTGGGCTGCTTTACGACAGGATCTTCCGTTGCCTTGCGTTTGCTCGAGCTTGCCTCGAGGCTCAATCTTTGCGCATACTTAGCCCGTGATTGCCTCACACTCCTAAGCAGGTCGGCGTTGAGTGGCACCTTAGTTGCGTCCCCGTCATAATGCTGAAGGAAGCTCTTCACTTGGCGCATGCCATTTATGCTGGCAATGCTCAGCGAGCTTCTTCCATCTAACAGGTTCTTGTTTTCGCTGAAACCTCTTTCAGCATCAGCATTGCCATGTGGTAAGCAAAGCAGTGCTTTGATAATCTTAGACAGCAACGGATACTTCAGTTCTCCGGTGGTAGTCTTCAGGCAAAGCACCTTGGCCCAGTACACATCCACCCTTCCTTCCAAGTGCAGGGTGCCTCTGTCCCCATCACACTTGAGCATGTTCCATTCGTCGATCAGCGATGACACTTGATCCCCACAAATGACCTGAGGCTGCAGCTGCCCGGCAATGTACCGCAAGGACCGCACCTCCTGTTCAGCATTCTCACATTTCAAGGCAAGAAACTTTGCATGCATGATTACTTTGTTTGTGAGAGAAAGCTTCTGGAGAAGTGCTTTTGCACAAGTGATGTAGAATGCACGAGCCCCAAGGTGGAAAGTTTTTTTTTCTGCAGGGTCCCAGCCTTCCATAGCCTTCTCAGTGTCCATCCCAACTTCCGGGCGCACCTTCCGGAACGCTCCATTGTCCAGGTTCAGTTTTGTCAACTCTTTTGCAGTCTTGGTGCAATACACTTCACTTCTTAAGACCCGGCTCAAAACTCCTCGCACCAGTGCCAGGATTTCATCATGAAGGACATGTAGAAGTGGCTCCTGCTTTTGAGACAAGCGCTAAAACCCAGCAAAAAGTTCTGCCGCATTTCTTAGAAACAACATTTTAGCAAACAGAGTCTTGCTGGCAAAAGCTGCAGCGAGCCTGTTGTGCTGAGTCTGGGCATTTGGTTGACGCACAGCGTGGCTCTTCTCCACAAAAAAAGACTGCAAAGCAGTGAACTGTTCTAGCACACGGCCTAGCGAATCCTGTAGTGTCAGCCAGCGGTTGGACACGTGCCGGAGAAAAACATGAGGAACTAAACCCAAGAGTTCTTGCTGTTCTTTTAGGCTCTCAGAACGCACAGATGAATGCTTAAAATAGTAGTACACATCTCTGACAACTTGTTCAATATCAGAGCAAAATGCATCTAGGCCCTTTGAAAATGCATTGTGCACTTTGTGCAGAGTGCACTCTCCCACGTCGACCAGATTTGGGTTAATTCTTTGTTTTAACTTGGACTTCACACTCTTCATGACGTCAGGGCCATCACTGAAGAAGCAGAGTAAGCCTTGACCCGGTAGCTCAGCTAGGGCATCCTCTATGCACTCCACGACTATGTCACCAGTGGCCCGGCCAAGGTTACACGAATGCAAGTGCTCAACAACCACCTGCTGCCTACTCTCGGAGAAATACCGCACAGGTAGATCTAACTGCTGGACACGCTGCTCAGGCTTTGGAGTTTCATCAATCACAAGGACAAAAAACACTTTCGGCCGACACAACTCTGCAACGAGCTTTTATTTGAAGAAGGGCCCCAGCCCATCAGAGATGACGTAAGAAAGCTTGGCCCTTGCGCAGTTGAACTTTTTGGCCACGTCACTGTCAGTAAACATTTTTTCATAAATGTCCGTAGCAGTGGTGCCCCAGGCATAGGGAATGTCCTTTGAAACAACAGCCATAGCGAAAATGGCTTCCGCCCCACACACTTGATCTTGCAATGTGGCACGAGGCGTTCCCTGCAAAAAATCTATCGTGGCTTGCACAGTTTTGGGAGCTAGCAGCACACCACTTGTGTCTCGCCGCTTCGCTGCTGCCTCTAAATGCTTCTTTTGGCTTACATGCCGCTTGACAGCAGCAGTGCCATGCTGGGCACAGGAAATTGACACACTGCAAAAAATTCAAAAAGCCTCCGTGTCCTTTACACCTGGCTTGCACCACTTGCTGATAGCATCGCCGTTGCAATCCACTTCGTTTACGACCGACGCACTGAATTTCGTACTTCTCCCTGTAAGAAACAAAATAATCATGAAAAGCTCATGCCATCTAAAACAGAAAGCGCACGCACACAAAAAGTGCGATATGAAATACAACGGTGCGAAAATTAGCATCGTTTTATTAAAACACGGTGCCTTTTGACGCATGGATCCAAGCCTCGTCGCCTACTAAGCTCACAACAATTCACTGCCCGTGCGCTTGCTGCACTGTGCGAGTGTTATTCGTACCCGGCCCGGCCGTGACCGCAAGCTTGGATAATGCTACGATCTTCTTGGGTACGCAGCTTCCGATAGTGCATGTGCTACTCACTCCTTGTCGTTGCGCAGGAGGAGGTTGCAGCGAGCATCACGTTTCCGTTGCTCCGTACTAAATGCGTGCAACACGTTCAAGGCAGCGCCAACAAGGCTACGCCACACGCACTCACTAGAAAGCTGAAGATGCCTATCGCGAGAGATGTCCGCACTAGCACGCCTGATCGTAAACGCCGTCACGCGTAACCATGCTTACCAGCATATTCGTGCCAAAGGTAAAATCTCTCTCTAAAATATCCACCTGTCTCGGAAATTCAGCCGTTAGAACATTTAGAACGGGTGCGTATTAACATTTTACGACACGCGAATTAGTGAACGTGGGCCCTGCTACTTTAACAACGGCGGTGTGCTGACCCGGCCTCCATTTTATTAGTTATGTCGGCAGCGTTCGTCAAAAGGTTCCACTCGCTCGAATAAACCGGTGGCACACCCACAAAGTTTTTTGCGCGAAACGCGGTTTGAATAGGTGCTTACCTTTGGTCATGATGAATGTCCATGTACAGCCAGCAGCGTTGTAGCCAGCGGACGAAATACAGCAAAACGCAACAACTTGCCGAGTGCCCCGCACCCGCGCGCACCAACGTTTATACATCATTGGTAGGGGCGTTCGCCCGCACAGCGTCTGGACAACTGGATCGGATTGAATAGCGTTTTGTAAAGTTTGCCAACAGGGCATTTATTTCCCGCTAAAATTAGCGCAGCTGAGAAATTTTGCGGCCAGTTGAGCATTTAGGCGCAGCGTGGCGCAATTTCAACAAATTTCAGGGTTTTGTCGCAGCGCGGCTCAAAGAAATGAAATTGTATCTCTCAAGAAATGAAATTGTATGAAATGAAATTGTATGGCGCAATTGGCGCAGCTGTAGCACCCCTGTATTAGTATCTTCGTAGCTCTACAAGCAGCCAAATATTAGGTGTGCCAGTGTGTCGGGCACGTTGCATATCAGGCAGTTGTAGGCGTATATTGTCGGGTAGATTCTATGCAGTAAGATGTTGTGCATATACGTGTTACTTTGCAGTCTTCAAAATGTTGCTTCTTTAGTCAGCTTGAGGTGAGGTGGCGGATACAGCCTGCGAGTTAAGCGATAGTGTTCTAGTATGGCGTTATATCTCAGTGGTACGGTCTTCACTTCTGCTGCAGCGTCGGCTAACTGCGGGTCGTGCGAGGCACCGAGGGAGGTTCGGCTGATGAGGCCACAGACAGCGGAGTGCGCCGCTTTGTTTCTCTCGAGCCCTTCGTGCGCTCGCACTCATCCCACGCAGGTGTAAAGAAGCGAACTTTTGCTCTTTCTCAGGATTTTAAAGGCTTCGGCGAAGATTCGACCTCACGTGTAATCGCGGACAGCGAATTGTGAATCTGTTAACTATACCAGCCTTAGTTTAGTGGCCAGGGTCGCCCCTGGTGGCTACTTTTTGCCAAATTGATGAATTTGAGAGGCCCGTACCGACTTAAAATTATGAATGCCGACATGGCGAATTTGCCGACAGGTCTCAATTGAGTAATGCATTCTTTACTCAATGTTTTCACAACGAATGGGTGACATCTTTTCTATTTTTTGTAGTATTAGACTTATAAGTAGGAGGTGCACTTCACGTGCATTTTAGTATCTCTGTCCTGTTTCTCAATCCACCTATAGACCCTGGAAGCACTGGCATACTGGTGCGTCCGCCAGCAACCTCCTAGCAAAATTTAGGTGAACGGACTGCTCCACGTGCCGCAAAGTGGTGGTGGTGTAAGTGTTTTAGCTGCTTTAAGAGCTTTAAGCTTCTTTAAAGTTTCACTCATGAAGTGGCTAATTGATAATCAGGCTGCGTGTACCAAGCACAACTCCAGCTGTCCTGAATAGCTTGTCGACTTCTTCACTGCGGTTATCATCATTGTCAGCAGCCTGACTACGTCCACTGCAGGACAAAGGCCTCTCCCATGTTCTGCCAGTCTACTCGGTCCTGTGCTTGCTGCTGCCACTTTATACCCGTAAACTTCCTAATCTCATCTGTCCACCTTCACTATAGTAGTACCCCCTAATTTTGTATGCAGAGTCCAAATTCCTAAACATACTTTTTGGGCCGGCAAAAAAAGTCGGCTTTTTTACAGGTCGGCTTCTTAGGCAGCCTTCAGAAACTGCCTTGAAGCGAATGTGTAGCATAAGCATCACTGCACAAAAAGCATGGTGTGGGTATTGCCACAATTACGCAGTCCTTTCGAATTTACTTTCGTTGTCTTGTAATTAACGATAGTTATAGTGCGAGAACAGAAAGATTACAAAAAGACAAGATGGACGCGAGACATCTCTTTGTAGTCATTCTATTCTCATGTTATAACTATCGTCATGTCATACCAACTAGCCCAAACTGCCACACTTATAATTAAGTTGTTCAAATGTCGAGCACATGATTTCACTGCAATGAGGTTCTGTAGGAAGGCTACGCACGCTGTCCCTTTTTTAGATGCGGAGCATCCCTTGCTAGCGGGTATGTCACGCGTCAATTGTCTGCACTCACACTACGCATGCATGACTCTCCTTCTTTCCTCTCTGCAGCAGCTGCACATTGCTCTCTTCTCTCATACCACCTGCTTGCGCTCGCTACCCCATTGCGCATGGGCGTCTCCCCCTCTCCCCTCTCCTACACTCCCCCTCTCCTGCCTCGAAACGCCAACGCAGAGAGCGTCTGCTAATCTACACTTGCTCCTCCCTCTCCTCTAGGCATTCCACCCAGCAGAGTCTCGCAAAGCCAACGCAGGCAGCGTCTGCTGGCGAGTTTCTTGATTGAAAAAACCGACTGCTCCCCCTACACAACTGCGATGCTCCGCATCACCTCATGGTCCCCTTCGGGGATATGATGTAACTTTTTAGGGGCGAAGCTTCTGAAGCGGGGACACTACTTGAGACAAAATGCCAGATATCTTCACGTGTTTATAAAGAAAATTCACAGTGTGATCGAGTTTTTATGCTGATTTCAAAAATATAATTACTGTTCCTCTAAACCAATTAGTTGTTGAGATATCCTAAAATTAACTACCTATTGTTTGCCGGTATAATGACACAAGAAATTTTTATTGTACCTATTGTTTGCCGGTATAATGACACAAGAAATTTTTATTGCAGAGCTACCGTAATTACTCGAATCTAACGTACACCTTTTTTCCGGTTAAGCGAGTTTATAAATTGCATGCGCGTTAGAATCGAGTACGAACAAAAAAGTTACGGTCAATCTATTGCCATCGGCAAATCCAAAATGGCCGCCCCCTACGTGCGTCGGCATGGCGCGTCGGCCATTTCTGCCTATGTGTTTCCCATGTGCGGCACTTCGTACGTGTGCTGAGGAGTTCGTCATCTATTAGTGCATTAGCATCGACGGCGTGGAAGGGCCGACTCCAAAAACTCGATAGCACCACGATGCCGCTTTTAAAAGAAAAGTTATGGCGTGTGCAGAAACGGACGGAAATCGGGCCGCATCGCGGTCGTTCGGAGTTCCCGAAACGTGCGTGCGGGACCGGCGGAAACAAAAGCAGAAGATTCTCGACAGCGAAGCTTCACGCAAAGGCTTCAGTGGACCACAGCAGGGTCGGTTTCCGCAAATTAAAGAGCTGCTCGGCAAGTATGTGCTTGAGCAGCGAGCAGCACAGCGGCCCGTGACGACAGAACTGCTCGAAGTGCGGGCTATGCAATTAGTCTTCGAAAAAGGTCTAATGCAGAGCCAGTTTAAAGCGAGCAGGTGCTGGCTAACTAACTTTATTTAGAGGAAAGGCTTTTCCTCCGAAGGGGAACATGCATATGCAAAAAGTTTTGCGGAGGAGTACGATGAAAAGCTTCACAGTTTTCAGAGGTTCGTCCTAAACTTGCGGCGCAACAACGGCTACCTGCTTGGGCAAATCGGGAATGCCCATCAGACGTTTCTTTACTTCGACTTGCCTGGCACCACAACCGTCGAGAAGAAGGGGGCGAAGCAAGTTCGCGTGCTGACATCAGTCCACGGTAAAACTACCGTGACGGAAAGCTCTGTTACACGTCAGATGGGCACAAGCTTCGCCCGTACCTCATATTTAAATAGAATACGCTCCCGAAAGGAGTAGTTTTTTCGAGTGGTGTGATCGTGCGGGCCGGCGAGAAAAATGGGTGCGCGTTGCAATTGATGTCTTACGTTTTTTTTTTTTTTTCGCGGTGGAAATCGGGTGCGCGTTACAATCGAGGGCGCGGTAGAATCGAGTAAATACGGTACTATTGGCACATGCCAGTGTACTAATGAACATAAGCTACACAACAGTAGGAGTGCTTTTTTTTATTTGATAATTTTAGCAAGGTTTGTCGCACCTTGCATTTCAGTGTTGCAGACACACCCACTTTAAGCTCCAATTTCCGGCAAAAATAAAATTTTTTCAAGCTCTCAATCAAAAATTCACACCTACAATTGTGTAAACTAAAGATACAGCTACATGTCACAACAAAAATGACAGTCCTAGCTGCTATGGAGGCAGAGATATCATTTAGACAAGTTTGCAACTGCAGCAAAATTGGAATCCTGAGAAATCATGCAAAAAGTCCATTTTGGTAGGACAGCAGCATGGAAAAGCTGTTTATTTACAATGATTTGCAAATTCAGCTTTCTCAGTAGGCACCAGGCATGTAGTCCTGCTGTTTTGTGTCACGTAAATGGCGTTTTTTCAATGCCCGCTGCATGTTTTCCGCAGAGGCACGCTTGCGAGCTGATGCGGTCGCCGTGTGCTCGTCTGCCGACGAGGCCGCTTATCAGTTCGGTGACGCCTATATGCGACGAATGTGCGTGCGTAATTCGCGATCCATCGTATAATAAAGCGGTTTTCCGGCTTGTCCAGATTGAGTTGTTGATATCGCAGACCGAACTCGTGCACTCGCTCGTCAATTTCAAGGCTCCAAGAGCAGTGAGGTGTAATTTTCCTTTTTATGCAAGATTGCCACATTTTCGAGTGGAGGTCCCGGCGCAATATGTTCATCGTTGCGGAGGCGTCGTTACAAGCACTCTACCTGTTGCCAGTAGCCTCCAATGCGCGAGCAGCGAGCACGTTCACCGTAAACGGATTGATTTTCTGTTGTTTGCCGACGCGCGGCGAACTCCACTCTAATGACCCGTCACGAAGTTCACGTCAGACGGGGGGGAACCTACAACGTTGGCGCGTTTAGTGATAATACTGCGCTTCCGTTCTATCATTGCAAAGATTGGTATCTCTCGTAGCTTCACTTCTGCTTTTTTTACTTGCCGTCCTGTAACTGTTGAGGCTCCAAAACACTGCCGCTTTCAGCGACGTTGTCGACAACCGACGGCTTCGTACGTAAGTTAGGCCTACACCGGTGACTCGGCGACCGGTGTTGAACGCCGCGACGTTTGCTATCCTTTCTGCCCTGAGTGATAGCGGGGCTCTTTCTGAAGTTCACAGCGAACGAACGATCGCCACACCCGCTTCACAAATTAGTGCGGCGAGTAACTTTTTTACTGCGGCAGGTAGTCGACTGCACCATGACAAAATGACGCCTGTCCGTGCGCATCACGATGAAGAAGCAGATGCCGAAAACGCCACTTGGCCAATCGCGTGCCTAGGTTTTGTCACGTGCCCCAAGCAGCCAATAGAATCCCGCGGTGGTGCTTCTC